CGCTGTCCACGTAAATTTACTCTTTTTTCTTTTGATTACTAAGAGTGGTTCAACAATATTAGCGAAATCTTTTATGAAAGATCGATAGTAAGAACATAATCCAAGGAAAGACGAAAGTTTCTTGGCGGTGTTGGGCGGTGGGAAATTCTTAATAGCTTTTATTTTTGAATCTTGCGTTTCTATACCCTTTTGCGAAATTTTATAACCGAAACATTTAAGTTCTCTAGTTGCGAACTTGCATTTTGAGGCGTTAATTGTAAGACCGGCCTCTTTAATAATTTAAAAAAAACTTGTTCGAGGTCATTAATGTGTTGTTCCAACGTACTACTCGTTATAATTATATCATCTAGATAAATTAAAGTTGATTTTCCTAGGACAGGCTTTAGAACAATGTCCATAGCTCTCTGGAATGTTGATGGGGCCCCCCACACAACCCAACAGGCATGCGTAAAAATGCATAAGTGCCCGATTTTGTTATAAACGCGGTTTTATGTATATCTTCGGGTCTCATAGCTATTTGATAGTAGCCAGACGTTAAGTCCAAAGTAGACATATATCTCGTCGATTTGATCTGTCTGTCTAATGATCTCGTCTATAACCGGCAAAGGGTAAACTGGGATTTAGTTATGATTTAGTTTTCTATAATCGATAGCAAACCTCCAAGCCCTTTTATCCGAAGGAGGAAACTCGTTCTTTTTCCTACATAGTACGACTGGACTCGCGTATTCACTATTTATGGGCGTTATTATTTTATTCTTTAACATCTCTGAATATGTTCTTCGATGATTACGTCTTTTGTTTGTCATAGCGGTAAGGTTTAGTCCTACAAGGTTTTTCGGCATTTAATTGAATCTTGTGAGTTACAATCTGACAGTTTCCCGGCTTTTTCTGAAAACAAATGAGAAAAATTACTCACCACTTGCTGTATTGCTTTACTTTCCTGGTCCATTCAAATGGCTAAGGTCCAATTCAGGTGTCTACACCGGTTCCACCACCCTCTGGTCCATCTCCAGCACCACGGAACTATCTTGAAAATTTAATTTGGCCCTTGCGGCCCTTAAAAAGTCCATACCTAAAATAAGAGAGTGTTGGAGTGTGTTTCACCACAAAAATTAATACTTTGAAATTTTCCTCTTTTACCTGTACGTTTAATGCTACTTTCCCGATGCAGTGACATGTTTTTCCTTGCGCCGCTATAATTTCCGTATTTCTGGGTTTTAAAGAGTCGTATCCTATAAAAATTCTTTTTGAAGAACTTTTCACTCATGAAATTTGCCTTCTGCCCCTGTATCGATGAGGGCTTCTACTGGTACATCGCCAACCAGGACTTGTATAATTGGTAGCTGTGAGTTTTTTACGATGACTGTATTTAGATGTCTATTTGAGGGTTTTTCTAAAACTTCCGGGGTCTGGACCCTCCCTTTCACACGGCCCCTCTAGTCGTTTAAAGCTTTCCTTTCAATCTGTGTCTTCTGGGTACGCGGATGCTTATTTTCAAATTTTTCTTTGGGCCTTGCCCTTCAAGTTTCGATGTGTTAGCTTGATAGTTCTTTCCCCCATATGAGCGATTCCATTTCTTGTTTCCTCCTCCTTCCTTCTGGTACTTTGAGAATATGTTTCCCCTCTCGCTCTTTTCCGCGATTCTGCGCGATTTTGAAACTTCACCGCCAATTCGAAAAGTTCCTGCAATGTGGTTGGGTTTCTAATTTCAAAGTAGTCTTGGACAGCGGGTAACAATCTTGGTAATATTATTTCAATTAATCTCCGCATCGGGTTTTTTTCCCATACAACATATCCGTTAGCTTGATTTTTCGTAAAATAAAGTCCGTCAATTGTGCTGTATCCTGTTGATAGAAAACTATAGCTCGGCTTCCAGCCGTGCGCGATCTTTCACTATGGGGAAGGCCTTTACTAACGATTTTTTGAAATTTTCAAAAGTATACGTCGGGCTTCCAAATTCACCTAGAAGAAAATTTGCCTATATTTTTCCACCATAGCGCGGCCTGTCCTCTTAGTGCTGATGTGGCGATAGCAACTTTTTGTCTTTTGGGCAACAGGATAGAGCTGAAAGTGGTTTTTCTATACCTTCTAAAAATACGGACAAACACCGAATTTTTTCCGTCGAAATAGACGTTTGGCTTGATTGATGCTCTCAAAGTCTGGACCAGGTATCCAAATCCTTCTAACTGCGTTGTCATTCTTTGTGTTTGTCCAGCGGCTTCCATCCAGTTTTCGGCCATTTCAGTTCGATAAGTGTTCGGGCGCCAATATAACGTTGCGCGCCTCTAACTAGCACACAACCAAGAGGTGACTGTGAAAGCTTGTATAAACCACAGAGTCTTATAAAGGGTTTAAGTCCCCTTTTTATTCAACGTACTAATTTACAATTGCGTTCTCTTGACGCTTACAAACGGTGCCAACTCGGCAGTCAAAATAAAAATAAAAACCTGAAAAGAAATTAAAGACAATATTCTAACTACGAGGCTCTCTCAAATAACTAACTCACCGGCGTTTTACAATACGGCTGCTAATTCAGCAGACTTGAAGCTCACTGGAACAATTGCAACTACTTCCCGCCAAGCACATAGGCCGCAACGCGGGGTTTTTCAAATCTCTATAACTACCTCCGCGCTCGCTAAGTAAGAATAACTCTCTCTCACCGAACTTGTTTCCTTCTATTTAAATCATACTACTTCCGCTGATAATTTGAATGCTTGCGCGTTCTACTCAAATTTACATATTCTGGCATTGGCAGTTCCAGGGGAAAGTAAGGATTGACAGGAAAGATAGTTTAAACTTAAAATAAATGTTAGTTAAAATAAATATAAACCCTACAACTTAATTCTAATATAAAATATATCAGCATTTTATTGGATATCTTAAATATTATGTTCTTTGGCTAATTTCATTTTTTAATTTTCAAACATTTTTGTGTTGAGAAAATTCTCAGTACCATAAGCAAGCCATTATACATCAAAGTAGCTTTAAATAAGATGAAAATAGAATTATTAATTAATGTATGCAGAATTTATGTGGATAAACTTAGTAATGTACACCTTGCACAAAAAAAAGGGGCGACAGTTTATCTTCTTATCTACTAGACCGATTGTCAAAATTTAACTTGTGTTTTCCATGTCTCAAAAGCACGACTTAGAATATATATTAGATTTATATATAGTATTGTTCTAACATATGTATTGTGACACAAAATCAAGCCTTTTCTGAAATAAAATGCCAATTTTTTTCCATATTTCTATTTTCCGATTAAAATTATGCCAAAGTGCCAAGTTTTGTAAAACTCACAGAAGTAGTTTTTAAAAAATTAGCTCTCAAAATTTTAGCTCTTCTATGCTAATTGAGTTTGATATATATTTATTAATATCTCCTTTTTTATTAAACAATTTGATTCTTCCTTTCATATTTCGAAATTTAGGTTCATTCCAAATAAAATTTGCTCATTTTTTTATGATTCATTTTTAAAATTTGTATTTCTAAAAAAATTTTTTTATTTTTCAAAAACAATTTTGAATTATAACCTAAGAATTTTTTATCATCTTAAAAATGTATTTATAAGCATACTTGCAAAAAAATTAAGTTTTTTAATTCAAAATTTCCTGAGATATAAGTGAAATTATATATTGCCATGTTTTGAAATTTGGCATATTTGTTATAAGCGATAATAATGCCAAATGTGGTTTATGCAGTTTATTAAAATTATTTAAAAGCATGAACGATGACCTTTTTTCCGCTCGCATACATTAAAAAAAAGGTTGCTATAAATTAGGAAGTTTGCCAAGTGAATTATTCTTGGTGCAAATTGAAAAAAAAAATGTGCCAAGATAAATTTTTATATTTCTCTATAAATTCCTCACCAAAAATTACAAAATTTAATATCTAGGCATAATTTGAGTCAAAAAATTGAAATATAGAAAAAAAATTAGTATGTCATTTAAAAAAAAGTTCAATTTTGAGTGAAAATACCTATAATATAACTATGCTATATATAAAAGCTAATGTATATCTTAAGTCGCACTTTTGAGACATGGAAAACGCAAATTAAGATTCGACAATTGGTCCAGTAGAAATGGAGTATAGAACTGTCCCCCCCTTTTTTGTGCAAATTGTACCATATATTGAAGTAAACAAAATTAAATAAAACCATTTATTAAAAGTTAAACTTTACTAGAATCTTCATATAAAAAATCTATGAATGTCTATAGTAGATTAAGACAGCTCTAAGATCAATAAAATGTAAGATAAAAATGCAATTAAGAAGAAATAAAATTCAATAAGAAAAATTATTCTGAAAATCATTACAGATGGAGGAGGAAAAAATTTCATTATTGAAGTGCTAGGAAACATTTTCATTAGTAAGGGCTAAAGATTAAAAACTGGGATATTCAGTGTATTCAGTGACCTACTGGGGGATTTGATGAAAAACCAGGAGAGTTGGCAGCTATGATATATATATAGAACACACACAAAAATATTTTAGGTTTCATATTATGTTATGAATCAGAAAGCAGATTTTGTATTTGTGATAACAGGTAAAGAGTTGTAATTAATCCCATAATACTTTCAATTTCCCAGCCCTTGTATCATATATTGCAAAGTTTGAATTTCCCACCTGTTCTACTAATTGTTAAGAAAATGACAAACAATTTTTTTTCTCCCATTTCCTGTGATATTAATTAAATAACGGAAAGACAATGAATGACAAGAAATATTTTAAAAGAGTGTTTTTACAGCTTTTCTGTCATAATATTAATTTACTTATTTTTAAATTAATTATTTAGCACTGCAAATAACAATTACTTTATTATTATATATATTACTAATTATTGGCTGAAGTAGCTATCATGATTACAATTTCACAAATAAACTATTACAATAAGACATGGTAAGTAAATATTTTAAATTATGTTGTTCTCCAAATGAATAATTGAAATATTTCTATAAAAAACTTTTATAAAAATAACATATTTACAAAAATATATTACCTAAACTTCTCTTGAATTTGGTTTATAAAACATAGTATTTTTAGAAAGGAATATCGCTCAAGGGGTAAAAAATGGATTCCTTGAAAAACATCCAGAAGATCAGCATCACTTGACTTTAAATTTAAGAGGTACTAGAAAAAATAAAAGACAAGCTATTACAATTTCAAATCAATTTCATGTCTAAAAGTTTCTAGAGAGAAATCTGAATCTTAAATTTTAAAGTCTGGATTAATTATGTTTAAAACTTAATTATTTTTAGCATTAAAAATCGGCATTTATCAAAAATTTTAGAATTTTCTATTGATTGAACATTGTATTAAAGCCTAATTTTAAACATGTTGTATTGACAGTTAACTATGTAAATCTCTAATTCATTAACCTAGTTTCACTTAATTGGTGACTGAAATTGAACTGAAAATTGGTGAACACTATGAAGTCCCCATCCCCTCCTTATGTTTTTCTCCTAAAAATGTATCAGAAAATTAAAATTAAAAATCTTGCAAGAATTTTTCAAATTGTATATTTACTTTCAGTACTTAATTTATGGAATAATACTTGTCTCCCACCTATTGATTTAAAAAAAATACCTTATGCATAAGAACAAAGATATAATAAAAGTCATTGAGGATCAACTTATACATACAGAATCAAAAAACTGGCACAAGCTTTTCTTCAATGATGCAATGTCTTTGTCCTCTCCAACAACAGAATTAAAAGTACCATTCATTAGCTATACAAGAAAGAAAATAAAACCTGAAATACTCTAGGCACATTTTTAGTGAAACAAATAAAAAATAACAAAACTACAATATATAACTAATTTTGTTGATAAAATTATTAAATACATCATAATGGCAAGGTGAATTAAAAGAGTAGTTACAGAAATCTGGCTTATAACAGACAAAAGTAAAGAAAACTCCCAAATATGAAGCTGTTTCAAACATAAATTTTGGCCATCCTACTTAGTGTTCAATTTTTTTCTAGTGTGACTTTGCTAAAGTTTTGTTTAGAATTTGTTAACCAACATAAGACAAATAGTTCAAAATATACAATAATAATTTTTAACGGTGATAATACTAATGTTTTCTCTCATTAAACAATTAAATCTCTAGTTTTTGCATTCATATCAAGAGATCTGTTTAACAGCACAACTCTTCTTCTATTAAGAAATGGAATAAATGTCTTCTAAAAATTCTAAGTGCTGCTAACCAGCTTTGCTGTTATTGTAAATAATTGTAATGTGGAGACAAGAACTGTGATTATTTAACTGAACAGGTAGAAAACAGTACACAATGAAAATTTTTAATTCAGTGGCCAGAAAGTGATGAAACTTAGCAAAGAGAGACAGATGGCAACGAACAATAGGTGATCTTTATTTCAAAATGATACGTGTAATACACAGCAAGCACAGTGTTGGCTCAGTAGGTTGTAGGACCACCTTGGACGACGATACATGAAGCAGAGTCAGTGAGACTACAGATGGTGTCCTGAGGAAAGGCTCTCCATTCCCTGTCAACCATTTTTCACAGTTCGTCTTCAGAATGCAGCAACTGTAGGGTCTGCAAATGGCATCCAATCGCATCCGTAACGTGTTCCATTGGTGAGAGATCAGGAGAGAACGGTGGTCACAAAAGCACTGTACACCTTGCAGAACATATTGGCTCATGCGAGCAGTGTGTGGTCGGACGTTATACTGCTGATAAAGGGCATTTGCCACTCCCTGAAGATAGGGGAGTGTCACCAGCTGCAGTACATGATCCACGTATTATTGGGCCGTCATAGTGCCCTGAATATGAACTAGAGGTGACTTGGGATCGTATGCAATTGCACCCCAAACTATAATGCAGCAGTGTAGCGCAGTGGGGAGTTCCACAATTGCTGCCGGATTAGACCTATCTCCACATCGACGTCACACATTGATCACGCAAGGAGACTATCACTGGAGAAACAGAAGCTTGACTCATCTGAGAACAGGACCCATGTGCCACTCTGTTGTCCACATTGCTCTAGCCCAGCACCATTGCAGACGTTGGGAGTTCATGGTATGGGGTCAATTCCAGTCTTCTTGTCGCAAATGCAGGCCACTAGCCACCAATCGACGGCAAATAGCTCTGGTCAATACTGGAGCATCCAGGGTGTCTTGAACATGCTGCAGAATGGAGGTAGACGTGGCTTGCGAGTGTGCCACCACTTGTCGCCGGATGTGTCAATCCATACGTGCCGAAGTCACTCTGGCTCCGGCACCCGTCGAACTTGCCACATTTCCTTGTTCCAACCATCGTTGGCACAGCTGGTGTACTGTGGATGCATTAAGGTGTGTGTCAGCTGAGATTTGCCGTATGGACCAACCTGCCTTTCTCGGTCTGATCACCATGCCCCTCGTAAAATTGTCTGTCTACTGGAACAGCCTCCACTGACAACGGCCTGCCATTCTCTGCTATTAGACACTTTCTCTAAGAAAAAACACATTTTCTACAATGATTTCCCCGGTTAACGATGGCCTAGCATTCTCTGCTATTACACACATCCCCTGAGAAAAAAACAAATTTTCTTCGATAATTTCCCTAGCAGAAATAATGGCACAATAATTTAACATTCTGCAGGTTCCTTCACTTATATCTTCAACGTGCACAGGATAACTGTGAAATTCACATAACTTGGTGATGTGCGTCTACCCTGAAATTTGTGTAATTTTTGGGCCACTCCTTTTTGATGTTGCATTTTTAATGTCAGGTAGGATAGAACAAAAAGAATTTTTAAATGACACTGAGAAAGCTGCTTATGATTAAAAAGATGTTTATATTTTATAAAGAAAAAAAAAGTTGTAAAAATAAATATTTTGAGACATAAGATAGAATAAACAAAAAAAAAACAAATCTTCAGGCTTCACTTATTTAGGGCTAGATAAAATTGGAAAATGATGCCCCCCCCCGAAACAAACACAATTATTCAACAGATGAAAATAAAAAGATGATTTGCTAGTCGGTAGTTTTTAAAAAATGAAATAAATTGCAGGACGAGTTGATACTATTGTGGATAATGATGCATTTGGAAAAAGAGGTAGGGAACTCAGATAATGAGAACAAAAAACAATTACCTGCATACTTGCTTTTACTTGAGTATCATATTATTCGTTCTACACAGTGCGAGAAAAGAAAATTTCTTTTAAAAAGAAAAATGTTATTAGACTCCTGATTTTGAACTTTTTTTGCCTGTGAAATGAGAATTGAAAATGCTCTCTTCCGAAACCATTTTCTAACCAAATAATTAAGTTACTTTGCAGCTAGAAAAAACGTTCTTTGACACGGCAAAAGGGAAATTAATAGCATTTCTATACTGTTAGAAAAAGGATTAAACTCTGGCTGACATGAAATTCCAACTCTACAAATAACTAATGTGGACACCACATGACTTCCTTTTATGGCCTATTAAAATTATACACATTTTTTTGCTACATTTCATTTAAACTTATTTCCTTGAATTCCACTAAAGATATATTTCTCATTCAATTAATCAGTTCTCGTTTTGTGACAAGGCAAAAATACATAAAAACTCAAAACAACTTCATTAAATATTTTAATATATAGAAAAATCTAAAGCACTGTATACAGTTAAAAATAGTTTTAAAAAATTTTAATTAAAATTACAGTTTCTATACAAAAACAAGCCAATTCAAACAAACAAAAAAAAAATTCGGCCAGCGGTCCAAGAAGATAGCTTTTTCGATTCACAAAACTGAAACTTTATTTTTGGTCTCATTTGGCAAAATAACGCTGAAGTTGGTGCACAAACTGACTTAATTCACTATTCTACTAAGAGTGTCAAATGTAAACAAATGGCAGCTTTGTTAGGCTTAGTACCGCATAAACAACTATATATATGTTTGGTGCAGAAAATTGCAATGAAAAAGGAGGTGGACAACTACATGTTATAGCAATCCCATGTACAAAAGTTCTACGGCTACTTGTTTTCTGGTTATATGAGATACATATGGTTATATGAGCTGTCACGAAAAAATCTCTTTTGAATCCATTTTAAATTCATTTCTGTTTTTGGGTAAAAAAAAAAAAAAGAAAGAAAGAAAAAAAGTCCTTCTGTCAGTACATACAAATGTCATGCAATATCATTGTTCAAAGGGACTCTAGAATGGTCAAAATGGACATTTTTGTTGGAAAATAATAACCGAGATTTTTTGGAATTACAATACTAAAGAAAGCTCCAAGGGAAATTCTTAAGACTGTAACCTCAATGCTGCATGACAATATCCATCATACATTCAGGCATATTGTGAAGACTAGCATACCCCTCCTTTCACTGCGCAGAAGGAGAGAACTAACTTAACTCCTTGTACATCTGGAGATTTTTTTTATTTAACAAGCTTTGATCAGTCTTAAATGCATCAAGTCTTCTGATTATAAATCAAACTCTTAGTCTGGTTTTTACAGATTCATGAATCTCAGCAAAAATGATTTTTTATATACTACAAATAGCCAGCGAACACTAAGTATGTTATTCAACAAGAGATGATCATGAAAAATTAAGCATCCGTTTATGGAAATCTTAAATATGCAAGAGAGAGATTAAATCCTGCAGCTTCTTAACATTTCAAAATGAAAATTATTATGAGCAAAATTATTACGAGCGAAACTGCTCATTGCTATTGGGAGGTTATTCCTGCCTTGCAATTATTGGAATTTAGGAGCAAGTGATATTTTAAGAAATCATAGATATACGTATCAAATTCAATAATAAGTGGTATTCACATTTATAGGCCAACTATGTATTTATTTCTTAAGTTTACGACACATTGTTTTAAGTTCATCCACAAGCTGTGGTTCAAATAAACTTCCAGGTACAATAGAGTCCCGCAAACGACTCCTGATATCTCGACGTTCCGTATCACTCAACAACTTTTTAAAGATATCTCTAAGCCAAACAGAGCAAATATTACATACAGTACATATAATTATTATTTACGTGCATGTCTATTCAGTTCTATTCAAAGATTTGAGTGTTCTTTTTTCGTAATTTTTGTCGTTTTCACATTGTACCATTAATTCTTAAAACTGCCTAACAAAATTCAAGATATTTTGTAACACTTGGCAATGCTGTTTGCTTCTTTCAAGGACATGAAGAAAGTCAGGTAGCAGCTGGCCACTCGCTCACATTCCTTTCTATTGCTGCGAAATGTTAGGAGACTTGTCTGAAGCAGTGGCGTAGCTAGGATTCCAGCACCTGGGGACAACTGAAGAATTTGTGCCTTTTCTGTGTGCCATGAATGGAAAACATTTCATTAAAAAATTTCGTAGCATCAATTTGGCACCGCCTGTATGCTGCGCCCGAGGACAGATGTCCCTCGTTGCCCCACCCTAGCTACGCCACTGGTCTGAAGTTTTATGATTGCATCTTATTGAACACTAAACTCAAACCAGTTCATTGCATGTATCATTCCTCAGTTCACATCCAGGCATATAAGAGTTACATATTTTGGGAAACTTTCGATATTTTATAAAGGGAAAATGTCATTAGAAAAGAAAAGAAAACAAACTGACGTGACAATGGAAACGAAACTAGATGCCTTTTAACAGACCAGACAAATGGGAAAGTGTAAACAAAATTACCATGGATTTAGGTGTGCTGGACTGACTATTTTGGCAGGGTGGGAAAAGAAGAGGTCCGAAATCGAGTTTTGGTGTATGTAAAAAAGGTATACATGGATAGTTTAAAGGAAAGAAAAAGTATGAAAGTTGAAAAGAAAAGTGAGTGAGACGCTTTATTTGTGGTTCGGGCATCAAAGGGAACAGGGAACCCCATTTCAAGACCAATTTTACAACAGAAAGTCCCTAAAATTTTATGATGAATTTCAAGCAGAGCCTGGATTTACTGCTAGTGCTACCTGGCTCAACAGATGAAAAAAGTGGTACCACCACCCAGAGATCAATGAGCAAGAGTATTTTTTTAATTCATATATTATTTGTTTCTAGGATCATAATATTCTATTTCTAGAGTTTTTTAGTTTAAACATTATAAAAATAATATCACGTGCATCAAAGGATTAAATATTAAAGAGTTCTAAAAAACCCACCCCTTATTTCGTAAAACTTTTCGCAAACTCAACAATCTCCTTTTTCCACATTAAATAATTAATTTTTAATTAAGCTCAGGCTTAAATGCAAAGGGAATTTATATTACTCACCAAATAACTGTTTATCAAACTATTTCTACTTACATAACAAAAAACATAAAAACATACTAATATTCACCTTCAAAATAGGAATGATGTTTTTCAATGATTTGGCTATAAATCTAACAGAAAAGCAATGCTTTAGTAACAAGATATCAGAATTTTTTTTGCTAAGGTAAAGATATTGAAGGAAAATATTCCATGTATGCTGAGATTGAGGATGAAATGCTGAACACCAAGTAAAGTTTTTCATGACTTAACCATTTCCTTCTTGCTTGTGATGAGAATTTTTTTTAAGCTTCTAGCACATTAAACTACTTAGCAATAAATAAGAGCAAATTAAACTCATAAAATGGTAGTTAATATGCATAACACTGAAAATGATGTGGATGCAGAAAAGAACCACATGGATTAGAATAGCAATCTCAATCAAAATGCTAGCTCATTACATATTAGGGCACATAACCATGCAAATACATAAACAAAATTTTTACAAATAAAACTTCTTTTCTAATATTTAACTTATTATTCAATATTACAAGCGACAATAATTTTCAAAATTAAAAATGCTTAAATCAAATATGACTTACAGTAAACATTCGATAAGACTTGAGCAAAAGAGACTGATACACATGATCCTGTATTTCATCAGTTAAATACTCCATATAAACTTGACCATCTCTGGTTTTCTGTTGACAAGGGACATTCAAGGTCTGAAAAATACCTTAATTTTAGAGAAAAGTAAAGTAAAATTTAATAATCTAAATAAAGAAACAAACATTAAAAAAATTCTATTGCATTATTACACAAGTTTTCTACTCCTTTTAATTAAAATAATTTAATTTGTTAATTTGCCAGGATTCTTTAATTTTATAATTTAGTTTAGTTTATTAAAAAAATCACATTTTTAGTTTGTAAAAAAAATCGCAAATGTGTATGCATATGAATGAACATCTTCAATACAATTCCGTTTCGAGGACCGTAAAAAATTCGCCAAACTACTTTGAACTCAATGCTGCCAAAAATAATTACGGCAACCCTAACACAAGTAAGGAAGCATAATAATAAATAACTAAGATTATTGGTTTTAATTTAAATGAAAAGTTAATTTCATATAATACATTGTTTTATTATTATAATTTATATAAAAAAAGGCTAAAAATAACCGAATGGAATATAATACAGTCAAAAGTCGTTAATTCGGACACCCATAATCCGGAATGATCTATAATCCGGACCTCAAAGCTAAAAACTTTCTGCGCATGTGCCGCGTTGACACATGCGCATAGGCGTTTACGCGTGCGCGTAAGGCCTCTTACGACTGCGCATTTGCCTGTGCGCAAGCGCAGAATACGTTTTTGCGTGCGCGTGTTATGTATTACGAACGGTATAAGCTAAATTATCTAATTATCTTTTTCAGTTAATGTTGATGAATGAGTTGTTCCTTAATTTTCCAATTGGATCCGGCTTATTATTTTTTGCAGACTGTAAGAGCAATACTATAAAAGTAAACTTGAACTTTCGATTATGTCAAATAGAATTTCCGAATCTGGAGCTCCCAAAGGATCGTACAAAACGAAAGTATGTTTCGATGTCCATCAAACAAAAAGTGGAATTGCTGCAAAAAATGGATAAAGACATGAAGAATGTGACAGAGAGGTTAGTGAAAACGAAAAAATTTCGATTGACAGGTTAGTCGGTATTCTCGACACAGCAATTAACGGGACTTGAACAGCGGAACTTTGTAACTGAACAAAAAATTATGTCTGTTTATAGAATTAAAGAGAAAGTATTATCACATAAAACGAAGCAACTTAAACAACTTACATTGAAAGAAATGTTTAATAAAGTAAACAAATAATATGAAAGCTTTTTTTTTTTTTTTTTTTTTTTTTTTTTTTTTTTTTGTAAATTTTGATACCCTTTAGATCATAATTGTTCTTTATTTCATAAATTAAGGTTTCATATTTTTAATTTTAGAATTTCTGCATGCCATCTTACGCGATTTAAACTGATGATCTATAATACGGAAAAATCGATAATCCGGAATCGACGAAGTCCCGACGAGTCCGGATTAACGACTTTTGACTGTAGTAAATAACTATTTCAGATTATTATTTTAATTTAGATGAAAGGTTAATTTCACATCATACAATTTTTTATTATTATAATTTATATATATATAAAAAAAGCTAAATATAACTGAATGGAAACATAGTAGTAAACACCTATTTCAGATCATTATTTTAATTTAGATGTAAGGCTAATTTCATACAATACAATTTTCCATTACTTTAATTTATGAAAAAAAAAAGGTTAAATATACAGCAAGTTTCAAAAAGAATATACATATTTTGAATGCACATATTTATTAAACTGTATGACATACAAATATGAAACTTTACACACATATGTACGAACCTCCCAAGTTCAGGTTACAGATGTTCAATATGTCCTCCATCAGCAACATGAACAATATCACATCGATACTCAAATTTCTCCCATACTTGGGCAAGCATGTCCGTCGTCACTGAAGTTATGACAGTACGGATCCGGTTCTTCACCTCTTCCACGTTCTGTGGAAGTGGTGGTACATAAACGTTGTCTTTAATGAAACCCCACAGGAAGAAGTCACAGGGTGTCCGGTGCCTGTGGAGGCAAATCTGGTGCCTGTGGAGGACAGCTGAGACATGCTAAGTTGCCAGCTCCTTGACGACCAGTCTAACGGTTTGGTAGAGTTTCATTCAGATAATCACGCACTTGGCGACACCAGTGAGGGGGTGCCTCATCTTGTTGAAAAATGAAGTTGTCAGATGAAGTTCACAAAATTCAACAGATGTCATTTTCTGACACCAAAAATAGAAGAACCTAATGGCTGTAAGGAAGGGAATTTTCGATCCTTCAAACCAATTTTGACTTCTTAATCCTTTCTTCTCATTACAGGCTTCTTTCCTGCACCGCCATTTCGCTACCAAGTTATCGCTAAAGCATAATTTCATCTCATGATTGTGCAAACATAATTTTTTATCATGAAAACATAATTTTTTATCATTTATTATTTATCTTTTTTTGAAAAAAATCTATTGCAGACTTTTCGTCACTGGGTAATTCCCAAATTGTAAAATCCATAGCGTTATCAAAAAGAGTATTAAAAAATTAAACGAGTATTTCAATGGCAACTTACAAATATAGAACTATTTAAACTTGCGCAATCTGAAATCAGCGCGTTCGCGATATTTGGCATGTTGTTTAATGGGCGAGTTTGCTAGATTTGGCACTTTTGCACATGCATTTTCACTGTATTTTTACGGTCCCCGAAATGGAATTGTACCATTTCTTCTTCATGTCAAGTTTTTATATAAACATACATACAAAAATATTTATAACATACATATATATATATACATAAATGCATAAATTTAAGAAGTTTAAATCTTAAAACCATTTAAGAAATATGTATCCCAAAAATCAACAGTAATATATATTGATTAAATGAATTAGATAAACCTTTTGAAGCCTTTAGAAGTTTAATACAGTAGAAAGTCCGTAATCCGGACTCGTCGGGACTTCGGCGATTCCGGATTAGGATTTTTTCCGGATTATAGATCATCAATTTAAATCTGGTAAGATGGCATGCAGAAATTACACAATTAAAAATATGAAACCGTAATGTGTGAAATAACGTGCAATTATGATCAAAAGGGTATCAAAATTTACAAAAGAAAAGGCTTAATATTTATTTGTTTATTTTATTACAAATTTATTTCAATGTAAATTGCTTTTTGCGCTAATACTTTCTCTTTAATTCTATAAACAAACATAATTTCTTGTTCAGTTACAAAGTTCCACTGTTCAAGTCCTGTAATTGCTGTGTCGAGAATACCGACTAACTTGTCAGTCGAAAGTTTTTCGTTTACAATAATTTCTCTGTCACTTTCTTTATCAGAAGCGTGCATGGGTAAATGCTTTACGCGCATGCGTAGCGGATGTGTGCATTAAACACGCATGCGTAAACGCATTACGTGCATGCGCAAGTTTGTGGCTTTGAGGTCCGGATTCTGGATAATGGACGTCCAGATTACAGACTTTGTACTGTATGCAGAAATATATAATGAAATGTTCATTTAATTGCTGTGAAATTAAGATACAACATATACTAAGAGCTGAACATGAACTAATCGCTATTTTTTGTTTTGCAAGAGACATTATTTTGGAATTTATTCATATTCAATATTTATGGCTTGCTGTAAGGATATTTTTACAATAATCCCCTTGTTGGAATTATAGAAAAACTATCAACTTTAAGGAGGTCAAGTTATGAATGCATTATGTCCCTAGTATCACGAATACTTTAATTTTATCCTTGAAGAAGATAAATTAACTTAAAGATCTTCATTCACCGACGCCTCTGAAATTAACAGTTTTATATTAAAGCAATGGTAGTACCGGAATGAAATTTTACTTAATCTTACTTTTGACTTACTTATTCGAATTACCTCTCTCTCTCTCTCATAAACACTCACAAAGTTGTTAATGAAACATAAATGCATAATCACTAAAATTTTATGCATAATTTATTATTATCACATTTCTAAACTGATGAAACAAGAATAATGAAACATTTTTTAGAAAGATTAACATACAAGTTCCGAACAAAATGTCATAAATTTAACTATACCATGACCATCCAAAATCCAGATTCAGGTTCTATAAAGACTTGCTTTGTTTTCTGTGTGTGAAGTGCTTCACAGGAAGTTGTTCCAAATGTTCTGCATAAAGATAAATTACATTTGAGAAAAGAAAGAAGAAACATCTAATAATATCCATATAAATAAATAAATAAATGAGGGTAACAAAAAAATTAAATGCTCTACTAAATTAAAATAAAGAAATACTTTAATTCCTTCATAAAACTGCCTTTAATCTATAAAATACCTGGGCACTCTTCTTTTTCTTTCATTTATTTTGAACAAATAAAATCTGTTGCTAAATAGTGCAATTTAGCACCAATAATTGTTAAGTGTGATGTCACAACACACTCGTATGATCCTCACTTTGGTTTTCTAAAACTCTGATCCTCAATAAACCAGTTTAATTTTGGAAAGGAAGGATAAAAAGTAGCTGCTATCCCTCTAGCATTTTGTGTGTGGGGGGGGTGAAAATATTATCACGATATAAAGATGTATCAAAATTATAAGATTGATTATCCTGGTACACTTTGGCAAAATATTTGAAGATTGCAGGGTTTGTAAAATGGCAAAATATAAGATACTGCAGAACCATGCAACACCGCACAGATTTGTATTTAAGCGACTTTCTGTATTTGCCGAGTTCACGAAGGTGACAATTTTGTTTCTATTTTAAACCCCTTTGTGGAATTTTGGTAACGGAGATGACTATTCTTGCTTCCCAAATATGCACAATATCTGTCAGTCATGATGGGAATAAATGGCACTTGTTTTCTCCCTAGATGCTTTATTAAATGTCATTATTTCTAAGTGAAAAAAATAGAGACGTTTTTGAAAGAGAAAATATGCATGCATCTTTAAAAAAGTTAAAGTAAAAAAAATAATAAAAAATCTGAAGGCTTTTTTACTTAGGCTTACATTACAGCCAAAGGGGTGTTTTTTTAACATTTTATGTGTTTATTTATTAAATATCATGTTCTTCGCACTTAAATAACATAAAATTCAATTCATTAGCAGTACCCCAAAATATTTAAAAACAGTACATCTTTAGAATTTCCTATAGACAGTCTCGTGCGCAAAAGATATTTTTTTTTTTTTTTTTTTTTTTTTTTTTTTCTGTACAGTACTGCCACTGCTCGCTTTGCAATCATTGAATTTTTTAAACGAATATTTATTAAAAGTTTTACAAAATGTGAAATAGATACTAAAACAAATTTAAAATTTGGGCTTCCAGGTGCCCATGTTCAGGTGGAGGATTACATTATTCAAAATCTGATGGCTCTAGGTACCATCACTTTTTCACAATGCGAGAAACATACCTACATTCATGCACATTCTCCTTTATTTAATATCTTTAAAAATTATATATTTGGTGACAATAATTTGAAAAGCGATTCAACCTTTTACAGTGATTCGATACAAAACCTCGTTTTGAAACTAATATGTTCTGAGCTAATGCTCCTTTGGGCAAAAACATTAGATTATGCTTTTTAAACAGTACTTTTTATTTGCCATTATATTTTCATGGGTTATTAATCTGTCAATATAATAGTATTTTATTACTGAATTTTTAAAGCATAACAAGGCATGTTAGATAATTTACAAATAAATAAGACATATGTTAAAATTCAAAAAAAAAAAAAATTAATGATTATTTACTTATTTGTTTATTTACCTAAAAGCAGTTTTGGTAAGTGGTGAACTTTGAAACATGGAGTGGTACAAAACTCTTGAAAGATAGGTTAGAGACATTTTACTAAGCCATAAATTTCATTTTGCTGACCCAACAAAAGTCATTCTTACACAAAATGATGAAAGACTAGTGTTCCACTACGTGGCAGAATAAAATCAAGGAGGTGAGGTTCTGCATCATTATGAGTCTTTCCTTTGTGGAGATCACGTGGCAAAAACCCTTAGAGAAAATGCTCCTAATGCCACATTAAAAGCAATCGCAGAAGCATGCCAGCCACAAATCTTATCCTGCATTCATCATTTAAAAATTGCGGGCAATATTGGAAGATATTGCTTTATAAAACAATATTTGGTTACTGCTTTATAAATATAAAGCAAGTACAATTTAAATACCTATAACAACTGCTACAAAAACTCTTAAATAGACTTTTTGATACTCCACTATCAGGGGACTGGATTCAGAAATGTATATATGTAAGCATTTTATGTACATATATATGTTTGTGTACACACTCACATACATACAGTTTTGAATACGATCAAACAAAGTTATCACAAAACTGTTTTTTTTTAATCCATCATTAGATGCTTAAGGCAAACTGTCACTGAATGACTCTTTAGAATCAAAGATTTCTTTCCATTTGAAATTTGTTTTACTACTTTTAAAATGATGTAAATATGAACCTGTGGCTTTTGGAAAATCTAGTTGTGGCTCTTGAACTTTCCTAAGATAGAATTTCCAAGGGACTTAGAATCATTAGGTATAACTGATCAAATTCATGAAAAAACTAGAAAGGCTTTAGACCACGAAACACCACTTCACTATAAAGAAATTTCTAAGATTAATAAGGAAATGTTAAGAATAGTTTTATTATTTCAAATTGTAACATTTAACTTTTAGGATTTGGCAACTAGTCTTTAAGATACAAGAAAATGCTTATAAGACAAATTTAAGCAAGCTGTTCTAAACGTATTTCATTTTTACTAATTATAGTAAACTGCAGCAAATAAATATATATAAGTTATTAGATTACATTAAATTTTGTATATTGATATTCAATACTTGTTTTACTACTTTTAAAATTATGTAAATATGGACCTGTGGCTTTTGGGAAATCTAGTTGCGGCTCTCAAAGTTTACTAAATTCCAACATGTGGCTCATACTGATAAGAAGTTTGCTCACCCATGTTATATACCATATCACTAGATTCTTTAAATTAAGCAGCTGAGACTACAATTTAAAAAATACAAAATTAAAGAAACAAAATACAGGATATTCAATCATTTTTAGACACATTTCAAAATTAAATTACAAATAATCTAGAATGTACAGATATAAAATAGTTTTACTTGTTAACAAGGTAATTACAAAAGTTAATAATTTTCGATATCAGATCACTTTGTTGCCCTTAATACATCTAAATGATTCTCATGCTAGTTACTAGCAAGCATCTGAGGAATTATGAAGAAATAGCAGTTGTAATATACTGCTACAGTACAAAGTCCGAAATCTGGATGTCCATTATCCGGAATGATCTAAAAATCTGGACCTCAAAACCACCAACATCGTTTTTCTCCTAGGCTTTATGCATGTGCATTTGATTCCACCCCCCATAAATAATATAACATCTGGAAAGTCCCGATTCTTAATTTCACTTCGACACTAAATAAAATACTTTGTTATTGAAGAAACAAACATTTTAACATAAATTTGTATGATCAGTGATTTGGCTCCGTTGCTGCATATCTGCTTTTTGGCACATATCTCAAACCGAAACATTCCCCATAGATACATCGTTGATCTGATGCCAACCTGGCGAATCATTATTTATTATACTTTCCTTTCATCCCTGCATGTTTATCAAAACATGAAAACTTGAATAATGTAGCGATGCCTAAACAATTTTTTTATGGTAGTAATTGAATAATAAAGGAGTATGGTAACCTTTCATGTTAACATTACACTTATCGATGATTATATTTTTCAGTCAAATGTACTAAATAATGATGACAAGGAAAAATTTACCAAAAATTTCTTTCCATATGCTACAAATAGATTTTGTTGATGATACTCACAGAACAATTACATTTAGGGCTATTTGAATAAAAAATAACTGATTTGTTATTTACATAAACCCAGAAGCAGCGCCAGGGCTCATATGGCCGCACGGAGTCGCAGAATTTAGGACTCAAATATTGTAATTCTACAACACACTTTCCTCATGATTTCCAGTGTTGCTAGTTATGAGAAGAATTTTCTAGATAAAATATCATTTAAGAATTATTTAAGACCTACAAAAAATATTTTATGTTCAAGAACTCTTTGTACACTGTTTGAATAACAGGCCCCACAGTGATGAAGTAGGTCTACAATGTCATCAATGGTTTCGTAAACATATGAACAAACAAAATAATAATAGAGTTTTAAAATGTTCGAATTAAAGTTTTGCTTCAAAAATAAACAAAGAACTTAAATTTATTTCCCAACATGTGATTTCGATCTACCTTAGGCAACAAGCCATGATATTGATCAGATAGCAAAAGCTCTAGCTACACCACAGCTCAGATTAATTATGACTTTGAGTTAACTGTAGACATAATTCCCAATATCACTCCAATAAATTGGGAGCTGAGAGTACTTAAATTTTACATAGAAATCAGCGGAATGTGAACAGTGTAAGCACAGAAGTGATACCACTAACGACTACCTGAATTGAGTAATTATGCAACAAAGACAAACTTTAAACTTACTCACATTGCAGTTCAACACTACTCTGATTCAAATCATCAGTACACAGTACTCAGAAGGGTTAGTACTTACTGTTACGCTGTTAATAAGGCATAAAACTGTCAAACAACTTATCAGAGAAACATATGCCAGACAGCATTAAAATTGTGTTATGGATGACTGGTGAGATGGTGTGAGGTTTAACAAATCATAATTACAGACCTTTTGAGGAGATGTATATGGTCATGAACAGGAATAACTATATAAAGTAATATAGTGCATCCATAAAGTCATGGTGCACTTTTGATTGGTCACAGGAAAGCAACAAAACAAGATAGAAATGTGAAATCTTCAGCAAACAAAAGGAAAACTCTCCAAATTTCCACAGTATGATGTGCAAGTGTATGCGCACACAGATGATGAAGCAACACCGCGAACTGCGAAGCAGCAGATCAGTCTACCCACGTCCATGCCAGCCCAGATTCCCAGCCAGGAAAGTTCAGTGTGCTCTGTGGCTTACCAAATTTGAATGTATGACCAAAGTATAACATGAATATCGTTGTGTGTACAACGAACCACCACCACATAAGAATAACATTAATCAGTGGAAAAAGCAGTTGAAGGATACCAGCAGTTTGTTGCACAAACCCCCTTCTGGGAGGCCATTGGTCAGTGATAAGTCTGTAGAGGCTATACGGAAGAGTTACCTAAAAAGCCCTAAACATCCAGTGCGTGTGTGTACTCGAGAATTACACCTAAGCAAGACAACAGTTCGAAAGAACTTGAGTATCGTTTACATGTTTGTAGGGCAACATGTGAAGTCCACATCGAACTGCACCAAATAGGTATGAAACATTAGAAGGCTTTCTTTTGTTTGGTGAAGATCTCGCATTTCTATCTTGTTTTGTTGCTTTCCTGTGACCGATCAAAAGTGCACCATTGTTGAAGTTGCCAAATTCAATGTAGCACCAATTTGAGATTGACATTCACCAGTATCTAATCTTCTAATCACTTGCATTTTAGTTTCTAGTGAAATGCTTTTTTTGCTTTAATTTTATGTTTCTTATTATCACTTATGATAAAATCTAAAAATCATAATATTTGTCACTATATCAATCGTTATATTATATAAATTTATACTTACAGAAACATCAACAAATGTTTGAAACAATAAAAATACGTTCGTATAACATCGCAGGAAAGAAGAAACACAAATAAACTGCTTCAGATATCGGGAAGCCTAACGCTGCATGCAATTTTGGAGAATCCCACAATTCAGATAAAAGAGCGTTAAATCGAAATAGTGCTAAACGAAACAATGTTAAGCGGGGTCTTACTGTATATGGTATAAGATTCTTAAATAAGAAGAAAAAATTTTATATTTTCTGATTATCTGACTTTGAAAATGGCTGTTGCCTTTTGCACATTAGTTTGGTGAAAACTCGGCTGCCAGTGAGTTTGCAACTTTTGTTGGGGTTGCAGATAACCAGAAAGTACCGAAAATGTTTCACAGCCTTTCTTCATTCATAATTTAAAGTATTAGCACTTTACATTAGAAAATTACAAAACAATTGTGGTTAAAGTAGATTGAAAGGTGCCCCTTGTGTATTATCACGAAGGTGTTTCGTTTATAATAACCTGATTAGTTGAATGTGATGGAAACTGGTATTTTTCGCTTCGCCGGCGCAAATCTCGCCAAGCAGACTTTGTTGGCGACAACATACAGTATACACCAGTGGCGTAGCTAGGGTGGGGCAAGACGGACATCTGTCCCCGGGCACAGCATTCAGGAGGCACCAAATTGATGTTACGAAATTTTAGAATGAAATTTTTCCGTTCTTGGCACAGGGAAAGGGGCGCAAAATCTTCAGTTGTCTCCGGGCACTGAAAACCCTAGCTACGCCTTTGGTATACACATAAAATTGTTAACAAATGTTAGTTCAAAGAATTTTTTATTTGAAAGCATAAACATTTTAATATGGTTTAAAATTTTGTAAAAAGCCAATAAATTTGTAAAAAGACATTAATATAAGAATTTACTAAGCTATCCTGATTCGCCGGTTTGTATCATGTGACGCCAAGTGATCTCATCTCACGTAAACTACATTACAAAAATATAATTCTCTCAGAATATCTACATTATTTCAAGTTAATTTTAATTTGGAATACAAGTTTAAAATGCAATTATTTCAATTTGTACGAATAGCTACTCAGAATTATGTAAAATTTCAGTGCTTTACTTCGATGTGCTCTCATTAGAATTGATGAATTTAACCCTTGATTTTGCCTTTTCTATATTTTCACCTTCGGGTGAGCGGTGTGATTGCATCCTAATTGAATTATTACTGGAATATTCTTAGAGAATAAAATTTAATTATCTTTGAAATATTTATGTATTCTATGCCATATTGGAAAGAAACAATCAATATGGTAGAAATGGCTGCAATTGTTTTTGGAAATGAGGGGAAAAGGTTACCGCGAAGATATTCCATTTGGCAAATCACTGTATCATTATGGCGACTTTATCATTTGCGCCGGCAAAACGGAAAAGTACTGACTCTATTATGAACGTACCGGCTAGTGATTGCCATATTTTGAATGAGGGAAAAGATTGTAAGATGTGGGGGTTGATAGGAGTACACTGCTTGTTTTGTGTTAGACGTAGAAGGCGCGGATGTGTCAGATTACTGAAGTCTGTACGATTTGGAATGAAAGGAGAAAGGCAGAATTGACGGTTGGTAATGAAAGGTTTACTTATCCATATAGTCCTGTTGTAGGAGGAATCGTATGCTGAATGTCAGAAAATATTTTTTACTTTTATTTTTGTGACGACGACGATGTACGGATTCTAGTTCAGATATTTTTTTTTTTTTTAATGCTGTAAGGAATTTTGTGTGCACAAAACTGAGACTCAGAAATTTCTAAATGGGTAAGGGGATTTGCTTTTGTAGTGCTTAAGCATAGAGTATTTCCTTTATGTTATTTTATGTTGATTTAAAATGTGTTATTGAGATTCTGTATTTTTTTGGGCTATACTGAGCATGTGTGTCCTTGACTTTTGAAGCGAACTAGATCGAAATTACATGGAGAAATCAGGGAGGCGCAATGCCAAGTTTTACATCCTGCTGTTTTTTTAAGTGAAATAGTCAATGCGTACATGAAAAAGTCAAGGGAGAGCACAGTGCCAAGTTTGTGCATTTCTTCGATTTCTTTTTAAGTGAAAATAGGTTGATGTGCACATGGATACCGAGTTCATGCAATTCTTTAACTTGTTATTTTGTGTAGCGGCAATTTTTGGCGCAAAAATCGCCGCTACACAAAGCCAAAATAACAAGTCAAAGAATTGCACAAACTCGATATCCATGTACCATAAAAAATTGCCAATTTT